TCTCTCTAGTCCGATGGATTGGACTGGAGGGTGCTGTTGGGCCATGGGGCCCCACCACATGTCTCATTTCAATAATTCAAATTGATCAATATGTAAAATTCATCAAGTACTATATGCTTGTAAAAAATCACATTGATCGGATATCGATAGCTATTTCATCGGATCAGATTTCTGTCAAGTGTTTATTTTTTCACCATCTATTTTTTTTAATACAAAACTAATTTGATCATATAACCATCGATACACAATCAACGTGATTTTTTACAGTTATATAGTATTCGACGAGTTTTACGAATTCAACGGTTTAGATTATCAAAACAAGACCCGTGATGGACCCCCACGGGCCCAACAATACTCTCCAGTTCGTGTTCGGACCGAAAGGAAGCCAGACCCTTTTGAGAAGATGGTTAAAAGTTGACTTTTTGGCTTTTTTAGTGTGTTTTTTTTTTTTTTTTTTTTTTGTGAAAGAGAAAATGGATTAAAAGTTGAGAAATGACTTTTAACTCACTTTTCAAAATACTCCATACATAAACAAACATTATTTAAATTGGAATGCACGGTTTTAATTGAAAAACTAATATTTTAAATTTAAAGAAATATATTAAGAGACTGTCCCAAAAAAAGTTAGGAATAACAATAAGGTTGGATGAATTGGGAATTCCTATCCTATCACACCCTACTCCCGTTTAATAAGAGGTGTTTTGGGAAGTTGGTAAAAAATTAATTTTTGACTTTTTATCAAGTTTTTTGGTTTTTTGGCTTTTTTGGAAGTGATTTAGAAAGTTGGTAAAAAATTGGCTTTTTTGATTTTTGGTTTAATATTTTTTAAAAGTGTCACATCACTCTAAAATGACCAAAATATCCTTACTTTTTAATTAAATTTACAAATTTGCCCTTTTGCATGTCAACGTTTTTTAAAATTAATAAATTACAATGTTCTAGAGGGTAGTTTGGTAAATGGCCCAGTTACGTTTTTGGGTCTTCCCAAATGGTGTCTTTAGCGTTTTTGCATGGTGCAGCGTTTTTGATGAATTAAAAAAACGCAATTTTTGTCAAAGTTCCCAAAACGGCACTAAGGGGTGGTTTGGGATGTTCTAAATAAGTGTACTTTTTGACTTTTTATAAAATATGGGTTGATTATGGGTTGGGTTTGAAGTTGTTAGGTCCCTTGATTGTCAAAACCGGGTACAAAACTTTGTGTTGAAAAAGTTGTATTTTTTCTTGTGTTTTTGTTCTTCCCGCTCGAGCGGGACCGTTGGCGCTCGAGCGGAGATTGGGGTCTCTCAGTATTTTGTCAGGTCTGTAAAAATACTGGCTGGTGTGATTTCGCACTCGAGCGGGTTATCAAGCGCTCGAGCGGAACTCTGTTTTGTCACACGCATATTTTGCTGAAGCCGCTCGAGCGGGCTGTTGGGCGCTCGATCGGAGATCGCGGACTCAGGTTGCCTATTTATGCCTATTTAGGTTGTTTTTAGTTTTTACTTTTTCTAGATCTTATTCAAGAGTCCTAGGGTTTTGTTTGAAGTTTTCTTCTAAGGTTTTTGTGAGTTTTCCTTGATGTTTTTGAGAGAGTTCTAAACTTATGATTTGAGATTCATACATCAAGGAGTTTATTACTTTATATTCAAGAGAGTTCTCTTCGGTGGATTCCGAAGATTCAAACGTAGAGTTTCAAAAGGCGTTTGATTCTGTACGTAGTCGTTAATTCGACAAGTGAAGTTGTGGATTCAACTTCAGGATTGATCAGTTCCGAGACGAAGGCGTGGTGAAAGAGTTATAGAAGATTCGAAGACAAATTGACTGAGTTGGGTAATTTGTGTATTATCTTTGTAATCTTTCTTTCTTCAGTAGTGGATTGATTAGTGGCGTTTCGCCCATGATTTTTCATTACAATTGAAGGTTCTTCAATTGTGATTTTTTCTACGTAAAAATCGTTTGTGTCAATCTAATGTTTATTCAGAAAAACAACAATGTAAATCACTTTCGTAAGTGTTTGATGATTTAGATTGCGTGTTTTGAATAATTGGGATTTGGAATACTTTAATCTTGATCTAATCACGAATCACCTTAGGATTTTTAGAAGTGATGTGGTAGAGAGGTGATATAACTTAAATAAGATGATATGACTTAAATAGGATAATACTTTTTTAACTTTTTAACTTTTTTAATATATGCCAAACAAAACTTAAATATTACCGTCATACTTGACTCCACTCAATAGACCCCTCCCCTCTCCCCCAATCCGCCTTCCTGAGTGTAACTTGTTTTTGACCCTATCAATTTTACAATTTATATTTTTAATATTGAATTTTAGTAATAATTTTATAACAAATGACCGGTGTTCTTCAAATATAATAGGTGTTGGTATTGCTTTTCAGATTGGTTATAGCACAAGATGCACACTCATCATGACAGTTGACAATTATTTCCTCTACTTTTCAAATTTATCTTTTATTGGCAGTATTGTTTATTTGACTGGCCATCCACATTTGAATGTTTTTGTGAGATTACCACACCACATTGGTGCCATGGAATATTCAACAAAAATGGTCATTAAAATAATCCATGGTACCCCCCTCAAGTTGGCTTTGGAGGAGAATCTCAAGTTACTACTATATATGGCATTTGGTATGAATTTAATTCTCTTTTATCATGTAAGTCTTGATTTAATTGAAATTTATATTGAGAAAATGGTATAAGTTCTTAAGTTATAGTCTCTTGCCCAAAACAAGTAATAAGATACCTTAGTGATCTCGATACGAGTATTGTCTTAAACCCACGAGAAGATGTGAGAATTTTCCTATAATAAAAAAAATAATCCATGGTTTAGTCTCTCAAACTTATTCAGTAAAACAAAGTGGCTTTATTTCTTTGCAAGGTCAAGGAAAAAAACAAAAGATTGTATATGTAATTATACAAATATAAAAAATATTACATTAAATTAAATAACTAACAAGGCATAGTTAGAAGCCTACCGCTACCAAGTCTAATAATCATCACAAAATACTTGTGAAAAATAAACATCTATAAACACCTTTATATGAAGAGAGAAATAATTAATTGTTATTACTTGCAAAAAATTAACTTCCAACATCTTATATAAGCGTATAAAAAGTGGTCAACTGGCTCAGTTAATTTGATTAAATTGATTTATACACAAATTAATTAACAAGTAGACACCATTTTCTTTATAAAAATTTTTTTTTTTACAAAATAAAATATTTTTCTATGCTTGATAGCATCTTTAAACTTAATACATTAGTAATTATATTAATGGTAGTGGTGGTAGTAGTGATAGTAAGATGGAGGTGATGGTCATGGTCATGGTGCCTGTTTGGCAGAAATTATTTACAGCTTATTTCAGCTTTCAGCTTAATTTAAGCTATTTTGATGTGTTTGGTTTAGCTTATAGCTTATAGCTTATAGCTTTGTGGAAGTCAGAAATCAGCTTATTCTTTGAGTGGGGCAGGAGATGCTTTAAGAATAAGCTGGAAATCAGCTTAAGCTGAAAGTTATAAGCTATAAGCTGTTTAGGCATAAGTTATAAGCACTTTCCCACAGCTCTACCAAACAGGGCCATATACAAAACATCTCACTCTTGAGAATAAACATAACAATGCCAAGCCTAAGGCATTCAAATAAATCTCATAATCCTCATTTTTTTTTATACACTTTTTCTCACCAACACTCAGATAAAAAAACAATCTATGAAGTCATGGTGGAGTATAAGGAATTTATTTATGGGTTCTTAATTAATTTTAATTTCATATAACCATGAGTGTGATTACAACCATAAAATAAATCCATATAAAAACTCTAAACTTGGCATACACAATTAATCTAATAATGAAATCAATCCACCATTTACATGCAAATACAAAATCAAACCAATATCAAATAAATAAAAATATTGAATCAATCCATCATCTAACCAATATCTATGGATTCTCAATTTATTTCAATTTCATATAATCATGAGTGTGATTACAATCATAAAATCAATCCATATAAAAACCATAAATCTTGCATATACAACTAATCAAAATAATTAAAATCAATCAATCATCTAAAAACCCTAAATCTTACATACACAACTAATCAAAATAATTAAAATCAATCAATCATCTACATTCAACGTACAAAATCAAATCAATATCAAGTAAATAAAAATAAATAAATAAATAAAACCAATGAATTAAATATAAATTAAGAAAAGTGAGTTTTATACTCACAATATTATTTTGAAGATCAAATATTATTTTAGTTATTGATTTTTGAAAAGAAGTTAATATTTTGAGATAATAAAAATAAAATAAGAGATTAATATTTTGAGACGGAGGAAATATATTTTATCTGAGATATTATACGGCCGATATGTTGATTCCTTAGTAATATAATTCACACATTACACTTATAATTCTTATAATTTGTTTATTGTCTCAATTTAATTCTTATTTTTTTAATTACATTAATTTTATTTTAAACTTTTTTAATCAATTTGATTCAATTAACAACACTTTTTTAAAAACTGAACTTATATCATAGACTAAAATAGTTCATTCACACATTACGCTTATAATTTTTATTTTTTAATAAGATTATCAAATTAACAAAATAGTCAAATTAAAGAGAGTAAAACTATAGTTTAGCTAATAAAAAAAATTCACACAATAGTGACTTGGACGGCTTGCGAGAATTATTTCGAGTTTCATTTTGATAATTTAAATAGTTTAATTTTAAAAAATATTGAGTAAAACATATTTTTTAAAAAACAAATTAATCGAATATTAATAGTTCTTTCACCGATTGACATTTGTTTTCAATTTAATATTTAAATTTTTATTTTATTTTTTATATACAAGTATGTTTTGATACAAAACCTATTGATTTTTTTATTTTTTATTTTTTACAGATGTATTCTATTTTAATATATTTTAAAATATAAACAATTTTAATAATCAAAATAAAACTGCAATTCCTATAAATACCATACCTAGTGTGGGACAGCAAGTAAGGTTGAGGAGATCTCTCTCTATCTTTTATATCTATCTCTTCCATTATGGAAGCAACAGTCAGCTCTGTTGTTGGCTCTATTGCTTTGGTAACTCTGCTAACATGCGCATGGAAGGTAGTGAACTGGGTGTGGTGGAGGCCAAAGCAGATAGAGAAGTGCCTGAGAGAGCAGGGATTCAAGGGAAATCCATACAAACTGTTGTATGGAGACACAAAAGAGATGATATCAACAATAAGAGCTGCAAAATCCAAAGCCATGGACCAGTCCTCAGACGATATCATCCCACACGTCCTACCATTCCACCATTATTGTGTCCAACTTCACGGTATGCATCTCTCTCCTGTAAAACTATAAGATTGATTTTTTTTTTTTGTCAATTTTTTTCCAGCTCTTGTCAAATTAGAAATCTAACCGGAAAGACAGACGTGTGAAACTAAACACCAAGGATCCTCTAGAGTGAAATTTCCTTAAAGTTTCTTAGAGTGTTATATTGTGTGATTGAGATTTACTGGCAAGTCACATCAGAAAAATTGATGTGACTTGCCAGTAAATCTCAACCACACAATGTTGCACTCTAGGAAATTTTAGGGAAAAATCACTCTAGAGAATCCTTGCTCGAAACTAAATGACATATATATATTTTATTTATATTTTACTTATTTTTTTTCTTTTTCTTTTTCTTTTTTTAATCCTTTCTCAATCCCATACCAAACACAGCGTTAGGATTCGATGAAGACACTCCAAAATCACTTCGAATCGTTCTTTTTATAAAACATATCATCCAAGCAAAAACTGAGATTGATCCATCGGTAATTATTTGAACTGAAAATATATTGTCTATTTTCAAAATCTAACTTTTGGTTCGTTTTAAAAAATAATAATAATAATAATAAAAAACTCATTCGACTGGCTACATGTCCAATGAATTGTTTTTTTAAGTTACTGATTTGTTGGACTAACCTTACAAGACAAATCGTCTAGATCAAGTGAATTGATTCAGGACTCTACTTACGTTTTTTTAACATTTTTTTTTAATTTTTTTTTTTCAAAACATATATTAGCAATAAGCTAATTCAAAAGCTTATGATCATAAAAGAGAGTGACTTGAGCATCCGCATCAGACTCTCTGCAATAGCTTCAAAGCTTTTGTAGAGAGCATCAGTATCAAATCCTTCCTCCACCAGCCTCAACAAATTTTTTATAAATTCACTTTTTGTTAAATTTGCTTACAGAACTGTTCATTAGCTATATTATTTTTTATTATATTTTTTGGAGCAAAACTGAGCCAAAATCTTTAAACCGATCGTCCACTCGAATGTCTCATAAGTGCCGGTAGCAGAAGAAAAATGTCCAAAATTAGCTTAACCAGTCCGCCGGTCAATGGCAAATTTTTTTTTTTTTGCATTTTTTATGAATTGTTTAGGTGGCACCTCATCAATTTAATAAAAAAATAAAAAATGAAAGAATAACAAATACGATAAGAAATTAATATTTTAATAAAATTGAGTTAAAATAGAGATTTTGATGTAGTAAATACTAAAAAAGTGACTAGTCAAAATAGAAAAAATGAATTTTAGGTTAAATTTGACTAAAATTTTGAAAAGACTGATGCGGATGCTCTAGGAGAATTGTTTTAGATCATTTATACTTGTCAAATCGTTATAAATAAAAAAAAAATACTAGTCTCACTATTTTAGTTAATGAATATAAAGTTGGATTGTTACGGGACCAAATAAATAAAATAATTTCTACTTGCAGGGGACATCACTCAAATATTATTTTTACAATCAATGTCAATATTATTAAGATTCTTATGCATATTTCACATATTATCATATTTTGCTAACAATTGTTTTAAGTCTTTCATTTTCTTCTCACCTTGACAAATAATGGCCAAAACTTGCAGGTAAAAATTACTTTCAATGGATAGGCCCAACACCAAGAGTAACCATTACAGATCCTAAATTGATAAAAGAGATCTTACATAACTATGAAGCCTTTCAAAAACCCGCGATGAACCCACTTGGCAAATTACTTGTGAGAGGGCTTGGATCGTGCGAGTGTGAGGAATGGGTCAAGCACAGAAATCTTCTCAACCCAGCCTTTCATCTAGAAAAGTTGAAGGTAATTAATCTCTAAATCTTCAACTTTTTATTTTTAATTTTTATAAGCTGTTTCAATGAGCTGCAACAAACAAGGCCTAACAATCATACAAAAATAATAATAGTACTAAACAGTCTTATTGGTGTTTGTTATATAGCATATGGTACCTGCAATGTACTCGAGTTGTAGTGAAATGATAAGCAAATGGGAAGTGTTAGTTTCATCAACAAAAGGGTCATGTGAGGTTGATGTATGGCCTTATCTTGAGAATCTGACCGGCGACGTGATTTCTCGAACAGCATTTGGTAGTAATTATGAAGAAGGACAAAGGATATTCAAACTCCAAAAAGAGCAATTCAATACTATAATGCAACTTATGCAATCAATTTACATTCCAGGATCAAGGTAAGATAAAATGAATTTATGATTGTTTTACTTGCTTTTTGTCAAAAAGACTAAACTATAAATGATATTATATTACAATTTCAAATTTTTTTTTACCAATTTGAATTGTTTTACATGTATTTTTTTTAATAGATACTGAATGCTAAAAGCACTAATTTTCATATTTTCAAAATACTATACTCCAAATAAGTTGATAAAATTTCTTGTTTTCATGTCATCATCTATTCAAAGTTTACTTTTGTAGGTTTCTATTTTAGTAGATACTGAATGCTAAAAGCAGTAATGTTCATATTTTCAAAATACTATACTCCAAATAAGTTGATAAAATTTCTTGTTTTCATGTCATCATCTGTTCAAGATTTACTTTTGTAGGTTTCTACCAACGAAGACAAACACAAAGATTAAAACTATCTATGAGGAAGTGAGATCTCTAATGAGGAATATCATCATCAATAAGAAAAAGCGGACAATGAAAGGAGATGGAGATAATGACTTGTTGGGAATACTATTGAAAACAAATTTGAAAGCAAGTCAAGAACAAGGAAATAAGAAGAACATCACACTGACAACAGACGAGGTGATTGAGGAGTGCAAGCTATTCTACTTTGCAGGGCAAGAGACCACCTCTGCTTTGCTCGTGTGGACAATGTACTTGTTGAGTAAGCATCAAAAGTGGCAAGCTCTGGCTCGAGAAGAGGCTTTAGCAGTATTTGGGGACAATAAACCAACCTATGAAGGGTTAAATCAGCTCAAAACTGTGAGTGTTTTCTATATATATATATATATCCATTTTTTTATATTGTTCTCAAATTAATAAGATTGACTACTGTAATTTTTTCCAATCGTATTTCATCTTTTCGAAAGTAATAGATGAATATAATTTGGAAGTTCACAAATTGAATGCAGGGAAGGCTTACATATGCACAATAGGTTTATCACTTCATTATTGTTTGAAGACATGGTCAATTTAATTATACTTTAGGATTTTGTACTGCTTGACTACTCAATATAGATTCAAATTTTAAAATTCCTCTAATCATTTATCTGCAGATAACCATGATTCTGTACGAGGTTCTTAGGTTATACCCACCAGCAGCCCACATTCTTCGAGCTATACACAAACCGACTAGGCTAGGAGAACTTGTTCTACCAGCTGGAGTAGAGTTTACATTGCCAGTTATGGCAATCCAACATGACCCTGAAATTTGGGGTGAAGATGCATTGGAGTTCAAGCCAGAGAGATTTTCTGAAGGAATTACAAAGGCAACAAAGGGCCAAGGCACATTTTTTCCTTTCAGTGGGGGTCCTCGTATATGCATTGGACAAAACTTCGCAATGCTGGAATCAAAAATAGCCCTGGCAACGATTTTACGCCACTTCAAATTTCAGCTTTCTCCATCATATGTGCATTCTCCTTTCAATGTTGTCACGATCCAACCCCAACATGGTGCACAATTTATCTTACAAAAAATCTAGGATTTGAATCTTTACAATGACAATATGTATGCGGATCTTAACATTGTGGTTAATATTGTAGCTAAATAAAATTTACAGTATTGTTAGAGAATTCAGACTCAGAAATATTAGTGGTTTGAGTTCAACTCTAGAGTCCATGTTTAGAATGAATATGAATCGCATTTTTTTTTTTTAAATAATATTTTTGTTTCTTTTTTGTTTGAATTTTTTATTTCTATCATTACTGTAAAATTTATAATAAACGATTTATTAGACAGAAGTTTAGTTAAATGTTTTGATACTGCATTCACACCTCAGAAAACCAATCATCCCCTGTTTGTGCAATAGAAAAAGAAAAAAGGAAAAGAAGAATTCATGAACCTCACCACCAACACTTCTACTTGCTAACATCCTCCTAAGAAGGATCTTTTCTTTCTCCTACCCTACACTTCATATTACTACACACAAATACATATATGGCGAAACTTTTATTTATGGCGAGACTTGAATCATTAATTTTCAAGTTTATTTCAAAATGTCAAAATGATTTACCCAACTTAGGCTTAAGCCTGACCTCTAGTCCAACCTGGTTTGCCCAATCTCGAGTTTATCTCAATGAATCAGGTTAGGCCGGTCAACAATTTGGATTTAATCTGATTTGTTAATAATTTCTAATCTAATAATTTGATAAATCTCTAAATTCAATTGGTCCAATTATTGTCCAATCGGATATAAATAAATACAATTCAATTCAATTCAATTCAATTATCAATCAGATCCTATGTTCATACTTTAATTTTTATATGTATATATAAGATTTGATTTTCATAGTACAATTTTTAATTCCAGCAGGCCAATATTGATTGCCTTACGCTCTCGGAGTCTTGGGGACCATATTGATTCTTTATTTCTTTTGGATTGAGGCAAGGAAATTTGTTTAAACTTAAGTCAGTCACAATCTGATTTGACTATTATTATATATATTCTTTACCTCGCTTAACTAACTATAATACAATAATCACAATTCATTTAATTAAAGTATGAATTGGGTTGTGTTGAATTTTTAAGATCAAATACCAGATAAACAGGATTCGAATCATCTTTTATTAGAATTGTCATATTTTGATTGGGACTAAAATTATGCCAATCAGATCCATTGTGAACCCTAACTGAATTCAACACAAATTTATTTTGAATTGAGCATTGAATTGTCATGAACTAATGAATTGCAATTTTTTAAAATAAAATAAAAATATCCCCAAAAAATTACAAGACTTATAAAACATAATAAGAAAATTAGCAACAAAATTGAATAATTAAATCTGAGAGTGAAAAAATAATAAGCATTTTATATGTATATTATATGTTAATTATTTATAATTGTACATATTTAATAATAAAATTCAAATTATTAAAACTCATGTCCATAGCCCGAATTTAATTTAAGTTAAATATATTTTGGTTTACAGCTTTGATAAAACTAAAATTATACTAGACAAACTAAACTTGCTTACCTTCTGACAGTGATTTTTCTAATAACTTTTTAGTTAAAATATGAGATAAAATCTACCCCAAATACCCTTTAATACAAAAATAAAATTATCATACCATCTTCATTTTCATCCACTCACCACCAAATCCCTCTTTACACTACCATGACATTCTTTCTTTTAACTTTCCACAACAACACACCAAATCCCTCTCTACATCACCATAACATTCTTTAACTTAATACAACAACACACTAAATACTTGTAGATAATAATGACGGTGGTGCAAATTAATGTTGTATTTGATTTGACATTTTGTGAAGGAATTTGAAAAGAAAAAAGAAAAATATATGTGAAATGTGAATAAAATATATATACATTTCACTTAGTTTCACACACTTTTTCCTTTTCATTTTTCTTTCCAAATCCATTTTCATATTCTCCAATAAAATACAGTGTAAGGGTAAGAGAGAGTGGTGCGATGGTTGGACAAAGTATTGTAACTAGTTGAAAAATAAAATAAAATAACGAAGGTGAAATAGAAAGAAAAAGTAAAGTCTATAATTTCATAAAGGTTTAAAATAGCTATTTCTAAAAAATAAAAAAATAATAATAAATAAAAAAAATTGTTTACATCATATATTTTGTTAATTTGATTTAGTAATTGATTAACGAAGAACAAACATTTGTTATATGATCAAAAATCTTAAAAAATACACGTTACCTTGGGGGTAAGTGGAAGCAAGCTTCAACCAACCAAGCTACCTTAAAATGTTGATATGGAACTGAAATTAATAATTTATATATATATACTAGTGTATGCCCGCGTTGTTGAGATCAAAATGCAGTTATAATTTATACGTATCAGGCTAAAATTTGTAAAATCTGTAACTTTTTTTGATAAAAATACTAAAAAAATATTCATCTTATAGATTAAAATATAATTTATCTAATTTGTTGCGCAAAAAAAAAAAATTTGAGGTCAAAATATAAATAGATGGTCCGTTTGGTTTGGATTTTCAAATGAATTTTATAATTAGAGTTTGGTTGTATATTTTGAAAATAATTTTTATAAATTTGAAATTCAAAACTTATTTAGTTTTGGAGTTTTCAAAAATAATTTTTAAAATTTTCAATTTGTATTTTATTATTTTTAGTAAACCTTTTAAATATTTTAATTAACATTTTTTACTTTTTAGATCCATTAATCTGAATACACTTAAAAATTATAAAATTTAGAGTAATATTAGAAAATTTACACTTAAAAATTTTAATTTTTTTTTTACAAATTTAAAATAAAATTTTATAATTTTCCATGATTTATGTGTTTTTATGTATTTTGAATATTTGCACTCAAAATATTTTGTATAAAGTTATTTTATTAAATGTGTTTTATTGTAAATAATATATTTTAATTATTTTATTATACTTTGCATAAAATTTTAAAAAAAAAAAACCAAAAACAAAAACAAAACAAACTTTGCATCCAAGAGGGTGAGGTGACGGTGACAATAACGGTGACAAATAACCGACAACAAAACACATTTTGTGTCCAATAATGATACATCTCACTAATTTACGAGCACTAATGGATCATTAATAAGGTGAAAATTTTAAAAAATAAAAATAAAAATTTAAGGTCAAAACATCACATCAGTCAGTGGGACCCATTCTCTAGAGCTCCTTTAGTGTTCCCAATTTAAAACTCTCAAACATTTTTCTTTTGTGCCCAAGAGCCACATAAGCATAAAAAAAACAAAAAAACAAAAAACCCTAAAACTCTGCACCCCAACTAGAGATGGCAATTTAAACCCGGCCCGATGGGGACCCAACCCCCCGACCCCGATTAACACGGTGTTTCCTCGAAAAATACCCCCGACGGGCCGGGGACGGTATTAAAAAAAAAAATCCCCGCTCATTTTCGGGCCGGGGACGGTGATAAGTGGTTTGGCCCCGACCCTGGCCTGACCCCGGCCCCGTTCCCCGTTGCCGCCTCCCTCTTTCTCTCTCATTTCAAATCTAATATAATACACTCATCTAATATAATATAATATTATATTATATTATATCTATACTCTGTGTTGACTAGAACCAACTACTTTCTATGCTCAACATAAATAATAATAAACCTAATATAATATAATATTATATCTGTACTTATATAATATATACTCTCCTCTCTCTCTCTCTCTATTATCTCAGAACTCATCTCACAATCCGAAAACCAGAACACACCTCTCATCTCCCTTATCTCCCTCATTTTAGATCTTTCTCTCTCCTATCTCAGATCCTCTCTCCTCTCACACACGGCTTCATTTCACGTAAGAAAAATGAGGAGAGAGAGAGAAGAGTCGATCTCACAGCGCCGATCTCACAGCGCCCCTCCTCCACCGATCTGACAGCGCCGCTCCTCCACCGCCGATCTCACAGCGCCGCTTCTCCACCGCCCTCCTCTGCCGTCATGCCGATCTCCTTCACTGCCTTCCTCCGCGATCTCCTCCGCCGCCCGACCTTTCCGCCTCTCTTTCTATGTGTTATATACACACACACACACACATATATATATTAGATTGCAGCTAGATCTATCTCTCTCTCTACTTAGATCTACCTCTCTTTACTCAGATTTACTCAGATTTGTGTGTTGTTGATGTTGTTAGATGATATTGTTGTTGATGATGTTGTTTGAATAGTTGTTGTTGTTGTTGTTTTTTTTTTTTTTTTTTTTTTTTGGGGGCTGGTTATAGATATTATGTGACGTTTATTGATGATCACACTAGGTACACTTGGGTTTGTCTAATTCGTTGTAAGTCTGATGTCTTTTCCATTTTTGTCCAATTTTTACAGATGGTTAAAATTCAGTTTCATGCAATTGTTAGGACTATCCGTTCTGATAATGCTGGGGAATATATTTCTAATGCATTTCGTTCCTATCTTAATCAAACTAGTATTTTTCAACAACTTACTTGTACTTGGACCCCTGAACAAAATTGTGTTGCTGAATGCAAAAATCGTCATATTATGTTTGTTGTTCGATGTCTTCTTCGAGGTATGGGTGTTCTCAAGTCTTATTGGCATATGGCTGTCCTTACTGCTGTTTACCTCATTAATAGGACCCTTAGTCATGTATTGCATGGACTCACTTCGTTTCTTACCCTTATGCACACCATCACTCTGTTTCCACTTTTACCTCGCGTCTTTGGGTGTACCTGTTTTGTTCAAAATTGGAGTCTCACTTACAGAAAGTTAGCTGACGAATCTTTTCATTATATCTTCTTAGGGTACTCTTTCATGTCCAAAGGGTATAGGTGTTATGACTTTGTGTCTCATCACTTTCACCACACTTTAAATATTACGTTTTGTGAGGATCTTTTGTTCTTTGGTACTAAACTTTGTTTGTAGGCTTCTCCTCCTGTTACTTCCATTGTTCGCCTAGTGACCATTTTGGACGAGGTTGAGAATAAGGTTGTCCCCCTCCTCATTCTCAACCTTTGCTTCCTTCTCTATTGCAAGTATACTCCTATCACCCACGTACTCAGCCCTCCATGCCGTCTCTCTGATCTCTGGGTCAGGTAACTCTTTTCCTTTAGCTTCTCCTTCACCTCCTCATTATAACCCACATCGGGATCCACATCCTCCAAATCGTTTGAGTTATTTGAGTAGTACTGATCGTCTTATTTCTCAGTATCTTTCCTATGACAAGGTT